AAGAGGGAAAATTTCCAAATTTCCCATTTTTGGAAAAATTTCCAGCCTGGACAGGGCAAAAATCCTGGAATTCCAAGGGTCTCCAAAGGAAAAAATCCCAAAATTCCAATTTTTTTCCTGGGGGATTTTGCCTGGAATTTCCAGATTTTCCCCATTCATTGGATTTTTAAGGATAAATCCCAGCAGAATTCCCAGATTTTTCCCCAAATTCGGGATAAATCCCAGCAGAATTACCTGATTTTTCACCATTAATTGGATTTTTAAGGATAAATCCCAGCAGAATTCCCAGATTTTTCCCCAATTTCAGGGATAAATCCCAGCAGAATTCCCAGATTTTTCACCATTAATTGGATTTTTAAGGATAAATCCCAGCAGAATTCCCAGATTTTCCCCGTTATTTGGATTTTAAGGATAAATCCCAGCAGAATTCCCAGATTTTTCCCCATTTTCAGGGATAAATCCCAGCAGAATTCCCAGGTTTTCCCCCAATTTCAGGGATAAATCCCAGCAGAATTACCTGATTTTTCCCAATTTCAGGGATAAATCCCTTGGAATTCCCAGATTTTTCCCATGAATTGGATTTTTGAGGAGGAATCCCACTGGAATTCCCGGAATTCCCGAATTTCCCTCACCTGCTCCCTGTGGATTGGCACCAATTCCACGGAGCCGTTGTTGGGGGTCGGCACCACCTTGGCCAGGGTGGCTTTTTGGGGACAGGGCTCCTGGAAAAACAGCAGGAAAATCCCTTTTTTCACCCCTTTAAAATCCCATTTTTATCCCTTCAAAATCCCTTTTTTCATCCCTTTAAAATCCCATTTTTATCCCTTCAAAATCCCTTTTTTCATCCCTTTAAAATCCCATTTTTATCCCTTCAAAATCCCTTTTTTCATCTCTTTTAAATCCCATTTTTATCCCTTCAAAATTCCTTTTTTCATCCCTTTAAAATCCCATTTTTATCCCTTCAAAATCCCTTTTTTCATCCCTTTAAAATCCCATTTTTATCCCTTCAAAATCCCTTTTTTCATCCCTTTAAAATCCCATTTTTATCCCTTAAAAATCCCCTTTTTCATCCCTTTAAAATCCCATTTTTATCCCTTCAAAATCCCTTTTTTCATCCCTTTAAAATCCCATTTTTATCCCTTCAAAATCCCTTTTTTCATCCCTTTAAAATCCCATTTTTATCCCTTCAAAATCCCTTTTTTCATCCCTTTAAAATCCCATTTTCATCCCTTCAAAATCCCTTTTTTCATCCCTTTAAAATCCCATTTTTATCCCTTCAAAATCCCTTTTTTCATCCCTTTAAAATCCCATTTTTATCCCTTAAAAATCCCTTTTTTCATCCCTTTAAAATCCCATTTTTATCCCTTCAAAATCCCTTTTTTCATCCCTTTAAACTCCCATTTTTATCCCTTAAAAATCCCTTTTTTCATCCCTTCAAAATCCCATTTTTATCCCTTAAAAATCCCTTTTTTCATCCCTTTAAAATCCCATTTTTATCCCTTCAAAATCCCTTTTTTCATCCCTTCAAAATCCCATTTTTATCCCTTCAAAACCCCTTTTTTCATCCCTTTAAAATCCCATTTTTATCCCTTAAAAATCCCTTTTTTCATCCCTTTAAAATCCCGTTTTTATCCCTTCAAAATCCCTTTTTTCATCCCTTTAAAATCCCATTTTTATCCCTTAAAAATCCCTTTTTTCATCCCTTTAAAATCCCATTTTTATCCCTTCAAAATCCCAACTTTATCCCTTTAAAACTCCAGCTTTACCCCTTTTAAATCCCAGCTTTACACCCCAAATATTCCACATTTTGTCTCTTTAGAATCCCATTTTTATCCCTTCAAAATCCCTTTTTTCATCCCTTTAAAATCCCATTTTTATCCCTTTAAAATCCCATTTTTATCCCTTCAAAATCCCTTTTTTCATCCCTTTAAAATCCCATTTTTTATCCCTTCAAAATCCCTTTTTTCATCCCTTTAAAATCCCATTTTTATCCCTTCAAAATCCCTTTTTTCACCCCTTTTAAATCCCATTTTCATCCCTTCAAAATCCCTTTTTTCATCCCTTTAAAATCCCATTTTTATCCCTTCAAAATCCCTTTTTTCATCCCTTTAAAATCCCATTTTTATCCCTTAAACATCCCTTTTTTCATCCCTTTAAAATCCCATTTTTATCCCTTCAAAATCCCTTTTTTCATCCCTTTAAAATCCCATTTTTATCCCTTCAAAAAAATCCCTTTTTTCATCCCTTTAAAATCCCATTTTTATCCCTTCAAAATCCCTTTTTTCATCCCTTTAAAATCCCATTTTTATCCCTTCAAAATCCCAACTTTATCCCTTTAAAACTCCGGCTTTGCCCCTTTTAAATCCCAGCTTTACACCCCAAACATTCCATATTTTATCCCTTTAAAATCTTGTTTTCTCTTTAAAATCCCAACTTTAAGCCCCAAATACTCCATATTTTATCTCTTTAAAATTCCATTTTTTATCCCTTCAAAATCCAACATTTTATTCCTTTAAAATTCCATTCTTTATGATTTTCAACGCTCTTAATTATATTGTGAATATCCCATATTTCATTCCTTTAATAACCCACGTTTACCTGTTTAATTCAGCCCCAAAATCCCCTTTACATCCCGAACCTCCTCAGACCCCAAATCTCCCCCAAATCCCCCCTCAAACCCCAAATCTCCCCTCAAACCCCAAATCCCCCCAAAATCCCCTCAGCCCCAAATCCCCCCAAAATCCCCTCAGCCCCAAATCCCCTCAGCCCCCCTCATCCCCCAAATCTCCCCTCAGCCCCAAATCCCCCCTCAAACCCCAAATCCCCTCAGCCCCAAATCCTCCCTCAGCCCCCTCAGACCCCAAATTTCCCCAAATCCCCCCAAAATCCCCTCAGCCCCAAATCCCCCCTCAAACCCCAAATCCCCTCAGACCCCAAATCCTCCCTCAGACCCCAAATCCTCCCTCAGCCCCAAATCCCCCCAAAATCCCCTCAGCCCCAAATCTCCCCTCAAACCCCAAATCCCCCCTCAAACCCCAAATCCCCACTCAAACCCCAAATCTCCCCAAAATCCCCTCAGCCCCAAATCTCCCCTCAAACCCCAAATCCCCCCAAAATCCCCTCAGACTCCAAATCTCCCCAAAATCCCCTCAGCCCCAAATCCCCCCAAAATCCCCTCAAACCTCAAATCTCCCCTCAGCCCCAAAATCCTCCCTCAGACCCCAAATCCCCCCCAAATCCCCTCAAACCCCAAATCCTCCCTCAGCCCCCTCACACCCCAAATCAGCCCCAAATCCCCTCAGCCCCAAATCCCCCCTCAAACCCCAAATCCCCTCAGCCCCCAAATCCTCCCTCAGACCCCTCAGACCCCAAATCTCCCCAAATCTCCTCAGACCCCAAATCCTCCCTCAGACCCCTCAGCTCCAAATCAGCCCCAAATCCCCTCAGCCCCAAATCCCCTCAGCCCCAAATCCCCCCTCAAACCCCAAATGCCCCCAAAATCCCCTCGGCCCCAAATTCCCCCTCAGCCCCCAAATCCCCTCAGACCCCAAATCCCCCCAAAATCCCCTCAGCCCCAAATCCTCCCTCAGACCCCTCAGACCTCAAATCTCCCCAAATCCCCTCAGACCCCAAATCCCCCCAAATCCCCTCAAACCTCAAATCTCCCCTCAGCCCCAAATCCTCCCTCAGACCCCTCAGACCCCAAATCTCCCCAAATCCCCTCAAACCTCAAATCTCCCCTCAGCCCCAAATCCTCCCTCAGACCCCTCAGACCCCAAATATCCCCAAATCCCCTCAGCCCCAAATCCCCCCAAAATCCCCTCAGCCCCAAATCCCCCCTCAAACCCCAAATCTCCCCTCAGACCCAAATCCCCTCAGCCCCAAAACCTCCCTCAGCCCCCTCACACCCCAAATCTCCCCAAATCCCCTCAGCCCCCCTCAGCCCCCAAATCCTCCCTCAGACCCCAAATCTCCCCCAAATCCCCACTCAGACCCCAAATCCCCCCAAAATCCCCTCAGCCCCAAATCTCCCCTCAGCCCCAAATCCCCCCAAAATCCCCTCAGCCCCAAATCCTCCCTCAGACTCCAAATCTCTCCAAAATCCCCTCAGCCCCAAATCCCCCCAGCCCCAAATCCTCCCTCAGACCCCAAATCAGCCCCAAATCCCCTCAGCCCCAAATCCTCCCTCAGCCCCCTCACACCCCAAATCCCCCCAAAATCCCCTCAGCCCCAAATCCTCCCTCAGACCCCTCAAACCCCAAATCTCCCCAAATCCCCTCAGCCCCAAATCCCCTCAGCCCCCAAATCTCCCCTCAAACCCCAAATCCCCTCAGACCCCAAATCTCCCCAAATCCCCTCAGCCCCAAATCCTCCCTCAGACCCCCAAATCAGCCCCAAATCTCCCCAAATCCCCTCAGCCCCATCCCCTTTCCCTCGCTCACCCTCACGCAGCTGAGCGCGCACTCGGCGTGCACCGACCAGAGCCCGGCCAGCGCCGTCAGCAGCTGCAGCGCCGCGATGGCCCCGAGCGCCAACAGCGCCGCCTCGGGCGGTCCCGCCTCCCCCGCCGCCCACAACCGCGGCCCCCACATCCACAGCCAGGCCGGGTAGAGCCCGGCGGCGAAGGGCAGCACGGTGCCGCGGAGCAGGCGCGGCCGCCGCCGGTAAAGCGTTACCGACGAGACCAGCTCGTCCTCGGAGGCCGCCGCGGCCGCCGCCATTTTCCCTCCGCCCTCGCTGCGCCGCTTCCGCTTTCGCTTCCGCCTCTGCGCCTGCGCGGAGCGCGCGGTTCCCGCCTCGGGGCGGGGCGCATGCGCAGAGCGGAGGAGTGGCGGCGGGATGGGCGGGGCGCATGCGCAGATCGAGGAGTGGCGGCGGGATGGGCGGGGCGCATGCGCAGAGCAGAGGAGTGGCGGCGGGATGGGCGGGGCGCATGCGCAGAGCGAAGGAGTGACGGCGGGATGGGCGGGGCGCATGCGCAGAGCGAAGTACTGGCGGAAGTGAAGCGGTGAAGGAGGAGGCGCCATGTGAGTGAGGGGCGGCGGGGTCGGGCCGTGTCCGCGCTGTGTCCCTCCCGTGTCCCCTCGGTGTCACCTCATGTCCTCCCCGTGGCCCCTCGTGTCGCGCTGTGTCCCCCCCCCGCGTTCCCTCGGTGTCCCCCCTGTTCCAGCCCCGCTGTCCCCGCTGGTGTCGCCGGGGATGGCCCCGGGCCCGTCCCAGGGAGGTGACCCTGTCCCGGGGAGGTGACACCGTCCCGGGGAGGTGACACTGTCCCGGGGAGGTGACACTGTCCCTGTCCCTGTCCCGGGGAGGTGACACCGTCCCTGTCCCTGTTCCCGTCCCTGTCCCTGTCCCTGTCCCCATCCCAGGGAGGTGACACTGTCCCTGTCCCTGTCCCTGTCCTGGGGAGGTGACACCGTCCCTGTCCCCGTCCCTGTCCCCATCCCAGGGAGGTGACACTGTCCCTGTCCCTGTCCTGGGGAGGTGACACCATCCCTGTCCCTGTCCCATCCCTATCCCTGTCCCTGTCCCTGTCCCTGTCCCTGTCCCTGTCCTGGGGAGGTGACACTGTCCCTGTCCCTGTCCCTGTCCCTGTCCCCGTCCCAGGGAGGTGACACCATCCCTGTCCCCGTCCCAGGGAGGTGACACCGTCCCTGTCCCTGTCCCGGGGAGGTGACACCGTCCCTGTCCCTGTCCCGGGGAGGTGACACCATCCCTGTCCCTGTCCCTGTCCTGAGGAGGTGACACCGTCCCTGTCCCTGTCCCTGTCCCTGTCCCAGGGAGGTGACACCGTCCCTGTCCCTCTCTCTGTCCTAGGGAGGTGACACTGTCCCTGTCCCTGTCCCTGTCCTGGGGAGGTGACACCGTCCCTGTCCCTGTCCCCGTCCCAGGGAGGTGACACTGTCCCTGTCCTTGTCCCCGTCCCAGGGAGGCGCTGGCCGTCACCGCCCGGCTCTGTGGGCCGCAGTTGGAGCGTTACGGGCGCTGTGTGGCCGCCAGCCCCGGCAGCTGGCACCAGGATTGTCACCAACTGTCCCTGAGTGTCACCGAGTGCGCCTCCGCCCAGTGAGTGACACCCTGGGGACACCCTGGGGACACTGGGATTGTCACCAACTGTCCCCAAATGTCACCCAGTGCACCTCTGGCCAGTGAGTGACACCCTGGGGACACTGGGATTGTCACCAACTGTCCCCAAATGTCACCCAGTGCGCCTCTGGCCAGTGAGTGACACCCTGGGGACACTGAGGGGACACTGAGATTGTCACCAACTGTCCCCAAATGTCACCCAGTGCGCCTCCGGCCAGTGAGTGACACCCTGGGGACACCCTGGGGACACTGAGATTGTCACCAACTGTCCCCAAATGTCACCCAGTGCGCCTCCAGCCAGTGAGTGACACCCTGGGGACACCGAGGGGACACTGGGATTGTCACCAACTGTCCCTGAGCGTCACCGAGTGCGCCTCCGCCCAGTGAGTGACACCCTGGGGACACTGAGGGGACACTGGGATTGTCACCAACTGTCCCTGAGCGTCACCGAGTGCGCCTCCGCCCAGTGAGTGACACCCTGGGGACACCCTGGGGACACTGGGATTGTCACCAACTGTCCCCAAATGTCACCCAGTGCGCCCCCGGCCAGTGAGTGACACCCTGGGGACACTGAGGGGACACTGGGATTGTCACCAACTGTCCCCAAATGTCACCCAGTGCGCCTCTGGCCAGTGAGTGACACCCTGGGGACACTGGGATTGTCACCAACTGTCCCCAAATGTCACCCAGTGCGCCTCTGGCCAGTGAGTGACACCCTGGGGACACTGGGATTGTCACCAACTGTCCCCAAATGTCACCCAGTGCGCCTCTGCCCAGTGAGTGACACCCTGGGGACACTGGGATTGTCACCAACTGTCCCTCAGTGTCACCCAGTGCGCCTCTGGCCAGTGAGTGACACCCTGGGGACACTGGGATTGTCACCAACTGTCCCTCAGTGTCACCCAGTGCGCCTCTGGCCAGTGAGTGACACCCTGGGGACACTGGGATTGTCACCAACTGTCCCTGAGTGTCACCCAGTGCGCCTCTGCCCAGTGAGTGACACCCTGGGGACACCCTGGGGACACTGGGATTGTCACCAACTGTCCCCAAATGTCACCCAGTGCGCCTCTGGCCAGTGAGTGACACCCTGGGGACACTGGGATTGTCACCAACTGTCCCCAAATGTCACCCAGTGCGCCTCCAGCCAGTGAGTGACACCCTGGGGACACTGAGATTGTCACCAACTGTCCCCAAATGTCACCCAGTGCGCCTCTGGCCAGTGAGTGACACCCTGGGGACACTGAGATTGTCACCAACTGTCCCCAAATGTCACCCAGTGCGCCTCTGCCCAGTGAGTGACACCCTGGGGACACTGAGGGGACACTGGGATTGTCACCAACTGTCCCCAAATGTCACCCAGTGCGCCTCTGGCCAGTGAGTGACACCCTGGGGACACTGAGGGGACACTGGGATTGTCACCAACTGTCCCCAAATGTCACCCAGTGCGCCTCCAGCCAGTGAGTGACACCCTGGGGACACTGAGATTGTCACCAACTGTCCCCAAATGTCACCCAGTGCGCCTCTGGCCAGTGAGTGACACCCTGGGGACACTGAGGGGACACTGGGATTGTCACCAACTGTCCCCAAATGTCACCCAGTGCGCCTCTGGCCAGTGAGTGACACCCTGGGGACACTGAGATTGTCACCAACTGTCCCCAGATGTCACCCAGTGCGCCTCTGCCCAGTGAGTGACACCCTGGGGACACTGAGATTGTCACCAACTGTCCCCAAATGTCACCCAGTGCGCCTCCAGCCAGTGAGTGACACCCTGGGGACACCCTGGGGACACTGGGATTGTCACCAACTGTCCCCAAATGTCACCCAGTGCGCCTCTGCCCAGTGAGTGACACCCTGGGGACACTGGGATTGTCACCAACTGTCCCCAAATGTCACCCAGTGCGCCTCTGGCCAGTGAGTGACACCCTGGGGACACTGAGGGGACACTGAGGGGACACTGAGGGGACATTGGGGGGACATTGAGGACACTGAGGGGACATTGGGGACATTGAGGGGACATTGGGGGACACTGAGGGGACATTTGGGGACATTTGGGGACACTGATCCCGATCCCTGGGGCTGATCCGTTGTTTTCCTGATTTTTTCCCTGTTTTCCCCTGATTTTCTCCGTTTTCCACCGATTTTTTCCCCTCTTTTACCCCAAACATTCCCCTGATTTTTTCCCCCCATTTTCCCCGTTTTTCCCAATTTTTTCCCCATTTTCACCCCATTTTTTCCCAAATTTTCCCCCATTTTTTCCCAAATTTTCCCCCCATTTTCCCCTGACTTTCCCCGTTTTTCCCCAAATTTTCCCCATTTTCCCCGTTTTTTCCCAAATTTTCCCCCATTTTCCCCCCGTTTTTTCCCAAATTTTCCCCCATTTTCCCCTGACTTTCCCCATTTTTTCCCAAATTTTCCCCCATTTTCCCCCCTTTTTTCCCAAATTTCCCCCATTTTCCCCCCCTTTTTTCCCAAATTTTTCCCCATTTTCCCCCCGTTTTTTCCCCCATTTCCCCCCGTTTTTTCCCAAATTTTCCCCCATTTTCCCCCCGTTTTTTCCCAAATTTTCCCATTTTCCCCCGACTTTCCCCCTGTTTTTCCCAATTTTTCCCCCATTTTCCCTCCTTTTTTCCCAAATTTTCCCCCATTTTCCCCCGACTTTCCCCGTTTTTTCCCAAATTTCCCCCCATTTTCCCCCCATTTTTTCCCAAATTTTCCCCCATTTTCCCCCTGTTTTTTCCCAAATTTCTCCCCATTTTCCCCCCATTTTTTCCCAAATTTTCCCCCATTTCCCCCTGAGTTTTCTCCCCGGTTTTTCCCAAATTTTTCCTCATTTTCCCCCGACTTTCCCCGTTTTTTCCCAAATTTTCCCCCATTTTCCCCCCGTTTTTTTTCCCAAATTTTCCCCCATTTTCCCCCCGTTTTTTCCCAATTTTTTCCCAAATTTCTCCCCATTTTCCCTCCGTTTTTTCCCAAATTTTTCCTCATTTTCCCCTGACATTTTCCCCCATTTTCCCCCTGTTTTTTCCCCCATTTCCCCCCGTTTTTTCCCCCATTTCCCCCATTTTCCCCCCGTTTTTCCCAAATTTTCCCCCCATTTTCCCCCCGTTTTTCCCAAATTTTCCCCCCATTTTCCCCTGACTTTCCCCCGTTTTTTCCCAAATTTTCCCCCATTTTCCCCCCGTTTTTTCCCCATTTTCCCCCCGTTTTTTCCCAAATTTTCCCCCATTTTCCCCCCGTTTTTTCCCCCCGTTTTTTCCCAAATTTCTCCCCATTTTCCCCCCGTTTTTTCCCAAATTTTCCCCCGTTTTTTCCCAAATTTTCCCCCATTTTCCCCTGACTTTCCCCCGTTTTTCCCAAATTTTCCCCCCATTTTCCCCCCGTTTTTTCCCAAATTTTCCCCCATTTTCCCCTGACTTTCCCCCATTTTTTCCCCAATTTTCCCCCCGTTTTTTCCCCACATTTCCCCCATTTTCCCCCCGTTTTTTCCCAAATTTTCCCCCATTTCCCCCCGTTTTTTCCCCCATTTTCCCCCATTTTTTCCCCCATTTCCCCCATTTTTTCCCAAATTCCCCCGTTTTTCCCGCCCTCGCAGCCCCCTGGTGCGCCGGATCCGCCGGGATTGCTCCGATTCCTTCGGCGCCTTCGAGCGCTGCCTGCGGGAGCGGCCGCGGAGCGCGACCGAGTGCGGCCCCCAGGTGAGGGAGTTCCTCACCTGCGCCCAGAGCGTCACCGGGGACACGCCCGCAGGTGGGACAGGTGAGGCTGGAACACCTGAAAGGGAATTTGGGGATAAAATTGGGATTTTATTCCCTGGACACGCCCAGGGACACACCCACAGGTGAGGGAGTTCCTCACCTGCGCCCAGAGCGTCACCGGGGACACGCCCAGGGACACACCCAGGGACACGCCCACAGGTGAGACAGGTGAGGCTGGAACACCTGAAAGGGAATTTGGAGCCGGAATTTTGGGATAAAATTGGGATTTTATTCCCTGGACACACCCACAGGTGAGGGAGTTCCTCACCTGCGCCCAGAGCGTCACCGGGGACACGGCCGCAGGTGAGACAGGTGAGGCTGGAACCCCAAAAAGGGAATTTGGAGCCGGAATTTTGGGATAAAATTGGGATTTTATTCCCTGGACACGCCCGTGGACACGCCCACAGGTCAGACAGGTGAGGCTGGAACCCCAAAAAGGGAATTTGGAGCCGGAATTTTGGGATAAAATTGGGATTTTAGCCAGGGACACGTCCGGGGACACGCCCTCAGGTCAGACAGGTGAGGCTGGAACCCCAAAAAGGGAATTTGGGGATAAAATTGGGATTTTAGACAGGGACACACCCAGGGACACGCCCACAGGTGAGACAGGTGAGGCTGGAGCCCCAAAAAGGGAATTTTGGGATAAAATTGGGATTTTATTCCCTGGACACGCCCGGGGACACGCCCACAGGTCAGACAGGTGAGGCTCCAGCCCCAAAAAGGGAATTTGGAGCTGGAATTTTGGGATAAAATTGGGATTTTAGCCAGGGACACACCCAGGGACACGCCCGGGGACACGCCCACAGGTGAGACAGGTGAGGCTCCAGCCCCAAAAAGGGAATTTGGAGCCGGAATTTTGGGATAAAATTGGGATTTTATTCCAGGGACACACCCACAGGTGAGACAGGTGAGGCTCATTCCCCAAAAAGGGAATTTGGAGCCGGAATTTTGGGATAAAATTGGGATTTTAGACAGGGACACACCCACAAGTGAGGCTGGAACCCCAAAAAGGGAATTTGGAGCCGGAATTTTGGGATAAAATTGGGATTTTAGACAGGGACACACCCACAGGTGAGGCTTGAACACCAAAAAGGGAATTTGGAGCCGGAATTTTGGGATAAAATTGGGATTTTATTCCCTGGACACACCCAGGGACACGCCCACAGGTGAGACAGGTGAGGCTCCAACCCCAAAAAGGGAATTTTGGGATAAAATTGGGATTTTATTCCCTGGACACGTCCAGGGACACGCCCACAGGTGAGACAGGTGAGGCTCAAACCCCAAAAAGGGAATTTTGGGATAAAATTGGGATTTTAGACAGGGACACACCCACAGGTGAGGCTCCAGCCCCAAAAACGGAATTTGGAGCCGGAATTTTGGGATAAAATTGGGATTTTATTCCCTGGACACACCCACAGGTGAGGCACCAGCCCCAGAAAGGGAAATTTGGGATAAAATTGGGATTTTATTCCCTGGACACGTCCGGGGACACGCCCACAGGTGAGACAGGTGAGGCTGGAGCCCCAAAAAGGGAATTTTGGGATAAAATTGGGATTTTATTCCCTGGACACGCCCAGGGACACGCCCACAGGTGAGGCCCCAACCCCAAAAAGGGAATTTGGGGATAAAATTGGGATTTTAGCCAGGGACACACCCACAGGTGAGGCTGGAGCCCCAAAAAGGGAATTTGGAGCCGGAATTTTGGGATAAAATTGGGATTTTATTCCCTGGACACGCCCAGGGACACGCCCAGAGACACACCCACAGGTGAGACAGGTGAGGCTGGAACCCCAAAAAGGGAATTTTGGGATAAAATTGGGATTTTAGCCAGGGACACACCCAGGGACACGCCCACAGGTGAGGCTCGAACCCCAAAAAGGGAATTTGGAGCCGGAATTTTGGGATAAAATTGGGATTTTAGACAGGGACACGCCCAGGGACACGCCCACAGGTGAGACAGGTGAGGTTCCGACCCCAAAAACGGAATTTGGAGCCGGAATTTTGGGATAAAATTGGGATTTTATTACCTGGACACACCCAGGGACACGCCCACAGGTCAGACAGGTGAGGCTCGATCCCAGAAAAGGGAATTTGGAGCCGGAATTTTGGGATAAAATTGGGATTTTAGACAGAGACACACCCACAGGTGAGGCTGGAACCCCAAAAAGGGAATTTGAAACCAGAATTTTGGGATAAAATTGGGATTTTATCCCTGGCTAGAGTGCCGCACCCATGGCCACGCCCTGAGGTGAAGTTGGAACCCCCAAAAGGGAATTTCGAGCCGGAATTTTGGGATAAAATTGGGATTTTATCCCCTGGACACATCCAGGGACACGCCCGGGGACACACCCACAGGTCAGACAGGTGAGGCTGGAGCCCCAAAAGGGAATTTGAAACCGGAATTTTGGGATAAAATTGGGATTTTATTCCCTGGACACACCCAGGGACACACCCACAGGTGAGACAGGTGAGGCTGGAACCCCAAAAAGGGAATTTGGAGCCGGAATTTTGGGATAAAATTGGGATTTTATCCAGGGACACACCCACAGGTGAGGCTCGAACCCCAAAAAAGGAATTTGGAGCCAGAATTTTGGGATAAAATTGGGATTTTATTGCCTGGACACGCCCAGGGACACGCCCACAGGTGAGACAGGTGAGGCGGGAACACCAAAAAGGGAATTTTGGGATAAAATTGGGATTTTATTCCCTGGACACGCCCAGTGACACGCCCAGGGACACGCCCACAGGTCAGACAGGTGAGGGACCAACCCCAAAAAGGGAATTTTGGGATAAAATTGGGATTTTATTCCCTGGACACGCCCGGGGACACGCCCACAGGTGAGGCTCGATCCCAGAAAAGGGAATTTGGAGCCGGAATTTTGGGATAAAATTGGGATTTTATTCCCTGGACACGCCCAGGGACACGCTCACAGGTGAGGCTGGAACCCCAAAAAGGGAATTTGGAGCCGGAATTTTGGGATAAAATTGGGATTTTATTCCCTGGACACACCCACAGGTGAGGCTTGAACCCCAAAAAAGGAATTTGGAGCCGGAATTTTGGGATAAAATTGGGATTTTAGCCAGGGACACACCCACAGGTGAGGCTGGAACCCCAAAAAGGGAATTTGGAGCCGGAATTTTGGGATAAAAATGGGATTTTACCCCTCAGGAAACACTGGAAATTCAGAATTTTGGGATCCGAATTCCCTCAAATCCCTCAGTGAAAAAGAGGAAATTCGGGATGGAATTTTAGGATCAAAATGTGAATTTTTGGGTTTTTTTTTTTGCCTTTTTTTTTCCTCTCCCCAGAGAATCCCAGGAATTGAAAATCCCTCCGGGAACACCGGGAAGGCCTCGGAAGCTTCCGGAATCTCCTCCCAAATTTCGGGAAGTTCCCCTCTGGAAAAGGAGCCTCAATTCCCTGCGGATTCCTGAGCTGCAATCCCAAAAATCGGAGAAATAAAAATTTCCAGGAATTTTCAGGACGGGACCAAAAATTCCGATTTTCCTTCTTTTCATTCCCATTTTTCCTCCTTTTTTTCCCACTTTTCCCTCTTTTCATTCCCAAATTTTTCCTCCTTTTTTCCCACTTTTCCCTCTTTTCATTCCCAAATTTTTCCTCCTTTTTTTCCCACTTTTCCCTCTTTTCATTCCCATTTTTCCTCCTTTTTTCCCACTTTTCCCTCTTTTCATTCCCATTTTTCCTCCTTTTTTCCCACTTTTCCCTCTTTTCATTCCCAAATTTTTCCTCTTTTTTTCCCACTTTTCCCCCTTTTTATTCCCAAATTTTCTTTTTTTTTCCAGATTTTCCCTCCTTTCTTTTCCCTCTTTTCCTTCCCAGTTTTTGGGGATTTTTTTGGGAATTTCATTCTGTTTTCCATGGAAAAAAAAAAAAAAACAACAAAACCTGAGAATTCCAGTTTTCTCAACCCTCAGAATTCCCAAAATTCCTGGGAATTCCAATCCCAAAACCTCCCCAAAATCCCAAAATCCCCAAAACTTTTCACTCTTTTTTTTTCCTGGGATTTATTTCCCATCAGACATGCAAAAAAAAAAAAGGGAGAAATTTCCCAAAAGAATTCCCAAAAATCGTCACGGGAAATTGGGAATTTTTACCCGAAAATCTGGGAAAAATCCAGGAAAAAAAATGCAGATAATCCCAAATTTGCCCAAAATGAAGCAGAAAATTCCATTTATTCCGCTAAAAAATTCCCGTTTTTTTGGGGGGGAATTTCACGCTGGGGTGGGGGAAAATGGGGAAAATTGGGAAAATTGGGAAAATTGGGAATGGGGCCAACAAAATTCCCAAATTCCTGAATCTCCAATTTTCTCTTAAAACCAGAAATAAATTGGGAATTTTTACCCTAAAACCACTCAAAAATCTGGGAAAAATCCGGGGGGGGGGGGGGGGAATTAAAATTAATTTTAAAAATTAAAATAAATTCAAAAAAACTAGAATTTAAAAATTAAAAAAATTAAGAAAATCCCAAATTCGCCCAAACCAAAGCAGGAAAAATTCAGTTTATTCTGCTAAAAAATTCCAATTTTTTTTGGGGACTTTCATGCTGGTGGGGGGATGGGAAAATGGGGAAAATTGGGAACAAGATCACAAAACCCCCAAATTTATGAAATTTCTGAATCTTTTCCTTTAAAAACACCAAAAAAATTGGGAATTTTTACCTGAAAATCTGGGAAAAAATCAAAAAAAACCCGCAAATTCGCCCAAACCAAAGCAGAAAATTCCATTTATTCCGCTAAAAAATTCCCGTTTTTTTTGGGGGGAATTTCACGCTGGGGTGGGGGAAAATGGGGAAAATTGGGAACAAGATCACAAAACCCCCAAATTTATGAAATTTCTGAATCTTTTCCCTTAAAAACACCAAAAAAATGGGAATTTTTACCTGAAAATCTGGGAAAAATCCAGAAAAAAAAAAAACAAACAAAATGCAAATTCGCCGAAACCAAAGCAGAAAATTCCATTTATTCCGCTAAAAAATTCCAATTTTTTTTTGGGAATTTCACGCTGGGGTGGGGGAAAATGGGGAAAATTGGGAACAAGATCACAAAACCCCCAAATTTATGAAATTTCTGAATCTTTTTCCCTTAAAAACACAAAAAAAAATTGGGAATTTTAACCTGAAAATCTGGGAAAAAAAAAAACAAAAAAAACGCAAATTCGCCCAAACCAAAGCAGAAAATTCCATTTATTCCGCTAAAAAATTCCCGTTTTTTTTTTGGGAATTTCACGCTGGGGTGGGGGAAAATGGGGAAAAGTGGGAACGGGGCCAACAAAATTCCCAAATTCCTGAATCTCCAATTTTCTCTTAAAACCAGAAATAAATTGGGAATTTTTACCCTAAAACCACTCAAAAATCTGGGAAAAATCCAGAAAAAAAAACCGCAAATTCGCCCAAACCAAAGCAGAAAATTCCATTTATTCCGCTAAAAAATTCCCGGGTTTTTTTTGGGAATTTCACGCTGGGGTGGGGGAAAATGGGGAAAAGTGGGAACGGGGCCAACAAAATTCCCAAATTCCTGAATCTCCAATTTTCTCTTAAAACCAGAAATAAATTGGGAATTTTTACCCTAAAAACACTCAAAAATCTGGGAAAAATCCGGGGGGGGGGGGAAAAATTAAAATTAATTTTAAAAATTAAAATTAATTCCAAAAAATTAGAATTTAAAAATTAAAAAAATCAAGAAAATCCCAAATTCGCCCAAAGCAGGAAAAATTCCGTTTATTCCGCTAAAAAATTCCAATTTTTTTTTGGGACTTTCATGCTGGTGGGGGGATGGGAAAATGGGGAAAATTGGGAACAAGATCACAAAACCCCCAAATTTATGAAATTTCTGAATCTTTTTCCCTTAAAAACACAAAAAAAAATTGGGAATTTTTACCTGAAAATCTGGGGAAAATCCAGAAAAAAAAAACCCGCAAATTCGCCCAAACCAAAGCAGAAAATTCCATTTATTCCGCTAAAAAATTCCCGGTTTTTTTTTGGGAATTTCACGCTGGGGTGGGGGAAAATTGGGAACAAGATCACAAAACCCCCAAATTTATGAAATTTCTGAATCTTTTCCCTTAAAAACACAAATAAAATTGGGAATTTTTACCTGAAAATCTGGGAAAAATCCAGAAAAAAAAAAAAAAAAAAAACGCAAATTTGCCCAAATCAAAGCAGAAAATTCCATTTATTCCGCTAAAAAATTCCCGTTTTTTTTTTGGGAATTTCACGCTGGGGTGGGGGAAAATGGGGAAAATTGGGAACGAGATCACAAAACCCCCAAATTTCTGAATCTTTTTCCCTTAAAAACACAAAAAAAATTGGGAATTTTTACCCTAAAACCACTCAAAAATCTGGGAAAAATCCGGGAGGGGGAAAAAATTAAAATTAATTTTAAAAATTAAAATTAATTCAAAAAAATTAGAATTTAAAAATTAAAAAAATTAAGAAAATCCCAGATTTGCCCAAACCAAAGCAGGAAAAATTCCATTTATTCCGCTAAAAAATTCCCGGTTTTTTTTTTGGGAATTTCACGCTGGGGTGGGGGAAAATGGGGAAAATTGGGAACGAGATCACAAAACCCCCAAATTTCTGAATCTTTTCCCTTAAAAACACAAAAAAATTTGGGAATTTTTACCTGAAAATCTGGGAAAAATCCAGAAAAAAAATTCCTGTTTAATTCCAGGATTATTTTATTCGAGATCATTTGTTCCAGTTATTATTTTGGGAATCATTTGGGAGTTATTCAGGGAATTATTTTTTAATTATTTCCGGGATTTTTGTGGGAATTCCCACAATTTCCACCCAGAATTCCCCAAAAATTTGAAGCTCCCGGGTGTAGAATTTTAGGGATTATCCAAATTCCTGGATCAGAGAAGGAAAAGGGAAAGAAAAAATCTTGGAAAAAGCAGGAAAAATCCTGGAATTCCACCTGGGAACAGGCGCAGATCATCCTTTTTAGTTTTTTGTTTGTTTTTTTTTTTTTTTTTTGGGGGGGGGTGGATTTCCATGGATTTTTGTGAGATTTTCATGGAATTTTTTTTTCCTGGATTTTTGTGAGGCTTTCATTGATTTTTATGGATTTTTCAGATTTTTTAGGGGAATTTTAAAGGATTTTAATGGGTTCTTTATATCTTGACGGGTTATTTTGGATTTGCAGGGCATTTTTAAAATTTTGTGGATTTTTAATGGATTTTTTGGGGATTTTTTAAAATAAATTTTTATGCATTTGTGGGATTTTATATCGATTTTGAGGGATTTTTGTGGATTTTGGGCAACATTTTGAATTTTGGGCATTTTGGTGAATTTGAATTGTGGTGGCTTTTGGGAAGATTTTTTTGGGAATTTTTAAGGATTTTCCTCCTACCTTTGAATCAAAACCACAAAATCCTGATTCTGCCACCTCCAAATATAGAAAAAAAACCCCGAAATTTGGGAAATTTGAAAAATCGGGAATTATCTCAAAAAAAAAAATTTTTTTTTGATTTTGGAATAAATCCCAGAATTCTGAGGGCGCCGAGATTCCGTCACCAGGGCCAAATTCCAGCCGAATTTTGGCCGGAATTCCAAAGGATTTGGGGTCAAAATGGCGCCGAGTCCCTGAGGGGAGGGGAAAAGGGCGGGAAAAAAAGGCGGGAAAAAAAGGCGGGGAGAAAAAGGGCGGGAAAAAAGGGCAAGGGAGGGATGAGGGGAAGAAAGGGGGAGGAAAGGCGGGAAAAAAAGGCGGGGAAAAAAAAGGCAAGGAGGGGAAAGGCGGGAAAAAAGGGCGGGAAAAAAGGGCAAGGGGGGATGGGGGGAAAGAAATTGTGGGGGAGGAAAGGCGGGGGAAAAAGCGGGAAAAAGGCGAGGCTGCGGCGCCTTCGGGCGCCATTTGTCCCTTCCCAGTCCCCGTTGTCCCCAGCCACCCCTCAGAGCCCCCCACGGAAGCCAAAGACCCCTCCCCAGTCCTTCCCAGTAGCTCCCAGTAACCCCCAGTACCCACCCGGGCCGCTCCCGTCGCCATCTTGGCCGTTGCTAACAACAAACGCCGTTGCCAGGCAACGCTTCGGGGCAACCGGCGTGACGTCACTTCCGGGCCCGGCACAATGGCGGCCCCGCTGGCGTTAATGCCTGCTGTGGATGAGATCCGCGATGGGGATGAGTGACCACGAGCGGCTGCCGCGTCCTCTCGGTGTCCCCCGGTTCTCCCGGTGTTATCCTCCGCCATCCTCGGTTCTCCCCCTCCCATCCCCCGTGTGACCAAACCGGCACCACCTAGAGGCTTTAAACCGGCCGCGCGCGTTCTGTAGCGTTGAGTTTGTCGATAATAAAGCTGCTTTTGGAGTCTCCGGTTGATTTCGTTGCTCCGGTGGGACCGGGACGCTCTAACCGGGCACGGTGGAAGCAGCGCTGCTGTTTTGCGTTCCGGTTAAATTTGCCCACGCACGGCCACCATCCCTCCTTTCCCGCGCGCTTCTCGGCTTCACCGCGCTTTTGATTGACAGGCGGCTCCATCAATAGGATTGCGCTGTGAAGAGGAGCAGTGGCCTTCTGACCAATAGGAACGCGAGAAGCGCTGGTTTGCCCGCCCCTCCGCGTGGCGGTGTGGGCGGGCCGCGCAGGGCGGGCAGAGGGAAGGGAAAATGGCGGAGGAGGAGAAGCTGCCCGCGGGGTGGGAGAAGCGAATGAGCCGCAGCTCCGGTGAGGGCCTGAGGGCGGGGGGGAAACGCGGGGAAGGAGCTGCGGGCGTGGGGGAGGTGGGAAAGGGCGATGAGGGGCGGCGGGGTTGGGTTTTGGAGGGGGTGAGGGGGCGTGGTGGGGGGGGTTGCGTGAGGGGGATTTGAGGAGGGGGCGGCGAGTTGAGGGAGGGTCGTGAGGGGGCATCGCCTCAGGGAGGGGAGGGTCGCTGTCGTGAGGGGAATTTGGGGGGGATCCCCAATTTAGGGGGGTTCTGAGGGAGGGTTTTCGTCTCAGAGAAGGGGGGGGCACCTCCGTGAGGGAAATTTGGGGGGGATCCCCCTCCTGAGGGGGATTTGGGGGGGTTGTAAAGGGGAATTTGGGGGGATCCCGCTCCTGAGGGGAATTTGGGGGGATCCCCCTCCTGAGGGGAATTTGGGGGGGTTGTAAAAGGGGAATTTGGGGGGGATCCCGCTCCTGAGGGGAATTTGGGGGGGTCCCCAATTTAGGGGGGTTCTGAGGGGGGTTTTCGTCTCAGAGAAGGGGGGGGCACCTCCGTGAGGGAAATTTGGGGGGGATCCCCCTCCTGAGGGGGATTTGGGGGGGTTGTAAAAGGGGAATTTGGGGGGATCCCCCTCCTGAGGGGGATTTGGGGGGGTTGTAAAAGGGGAATTTGGGGGGATCCCCCTCCTGAGGGGGATTTGGGGGGGTTGTAAAAGGGGAATTTGGGGGGATCCCCCTCCTGAGGGGAATTTGGGGGGTTGTAAAAGGGGAATTTGGGGGGGTCCCCCTCCCGAGGGGAATCTGGGGGCGATCAAAGAGATTTTAGGGTCTTTAACCTGGATTTTGGGTTCAATCACCTCAATTTCCAGCATCAATCAGTAACCAATCGCTGATCAATAACCGATACTTAATCAATAGCTCCCCAGGGAGGGGGTACTGCTTCAACCACCAGGCAAACGTCAGCCAGCAGGGTCATTGAGGTGGGATTTGATGTCAATAAGCTGATTTATCAGTGCAAATCAATATCTGATCAGTGATCAATAACCAATAACTGGTCAATATTGATCGATTGCCAATCAGTAACTCTGAAGGACATGTGTACTACTTCAACCACCTGGTGAACACCAGTGAGTGGGATCAATATTGCGGCCTTTGAGGGGGTTTTGGAGCCAATAACCAATTTTTTTATACTGATTGGTAACCAATCAGTAATCAATAACCAATAACGGATCAATAACCCCCCAGGCAGGGTGTACTACTTCAACCACCTGGTGAACACCAGTCAGTGGGGTCAATACTGGAACCTGTAAGGGAGTTTTGGTGCCAATAACCAATTTTTTGATACTGATTAGTACCCAATCAGTAATCAATAACCAATAACGGATCAATAACCCCCCAGGCAGGGTGTACTACTTCAACCACCTGGTGAACACCAGTCTGTGGGGTCAATACTGGGACCTGTAAGGGAGTTTTGGTGCCAATAAGCAATTTTTTGGTAGTGATTGGTAACTAATCAGTAATCAATAACCAATAACGGATCAATAACCCCCTAGGCAGGGTGTACTACTTCAACCACCTGATGAACACCAGTGAGTGGGGTCAATATTGCGGCCTGTGAGAGGATTTTGGTGCCCAAAACCAATTTTTTTATAGCGATTGGTAACCAATCAGTAATCAATAACCAATAACGGATCAATAACCCCCCAGGCAGGGTGTACTACTTCAACCACCTGGTGAACGCCAGTGAGTGGGGTCAATACTGGGGCCTGTTACTTGATAATAATAGGATGAATAGGTTGGTTTTGCACTGGAAATCAGTATCCAATCAGCAATCAATAACCAATAAGCAGCCAATAATGATTGATAACCCATCAATAACCCTGCAGGACACATCTACTACTTCAACCACGTGATGAACACCAGTCAGTGGGGTCAATACTGGAACCTGTAAGGGAGTTTTGGTGCCAATAACCAATTTTTTGATAACGCTTGGTAACCAATCAGTAATCAATAACCAATAGCGGATCAATAACCCCCCAGGCAGGGTGTACTACTTCAACCACCTGGTGAACACCAGTGAGTGGGGTCAATATTGGGGCCTGTTACTGTGCTGGGATTTGATAACAACGGATGAATGGAATGATTTTGCACTGGAAATCAGTATCCAATCAGCAATCAATAACCAATAAGCAGCCAATAATGATTGATAACCCATCAATAACCCTGCAGGATGTGTGTACTACTTCAACCACCTGGTGAACACCAGTCAGTGGGGTCAATATTGGGGCCTGTGAGAGGGTTTTGGTGCCAATAACCAATTTTTTTATACTGATCAGTACCCAATCAGTAATCAATAACCAATAACTGATCAATAACCCCCCAGGCAGGGTGTACTACTTCAACCACCTGGTGAACACCAGTGAGTGGGGTCAATATTGGGGCCTGTTACTTGATAATAATAGGATGAATAGGTTGGTTTTGCACTGGAAATCAGTATCCAATCAGCAATCAATAACCAATAAGCAGCCAATGATGATTGATAACCCATCAATAACCCTGCAGGATGTGTGTACTACGTCAACCACCTGGTGAACGCCAGTCAGTGGGGTCAATATTGGGGCCTGGGAGAGGGTTTTGGTGCCAAAACCCAATTTTTTGATACCGATTGGTAACCAATCAGTAATCAATAACCAATAACGGATCAATAACCCCCCAGGCAGGGTGTACTACTTCAAACACCTGGTGAACACCAGTGAGTGGGGTCAATATTGGGGCCTGTGAGGGAGTTTTGGTGCCAATAAGCAATTTTTTTATACCGATTGGTAACCAATCAGTAATCAATAACCAATAACGGATCAATAACCCCCCCAGGCAGGGTGTACTACTTCAACCACCTGACGAACGCCAGCCAGTGGGGTCAATATTGTGGCCTGTGAGGGAGTTTTGGTGCCAATAACCAATTTTTTGATAGCGATTGGTAACCAATCAGTAATCAATAACCAATAATGGATCGATAACCCCCCAGGCAGGGTGTACTACTTCAAACATCTGGTGAACGCCAGTCAGTGGGGTCAATACTGGGACCTGTAAGGGAGTTTTGGTGCCAATAACCAATTTTTTGATACTGATCGGTAACCAATCAGTAATCAATAACCAATAACGGATCAATAACCCCCCAGGCAGGGTGTACTACTTCAACCACCTGACGAACGCCAGCCAGTGGGGTCAATATTGGGATCTGTAAGGGAGTTTTGGTGCCAATAACCAATTTTTTGATACTGATCAGTAACCAATCAGTAATCAATAACCAATAACTGATCAATAACCCCCCAGGCAGGGTGTACTACTTCAACCACCTGGTGAGCGCCAGTCAGTGGGGTCAATATTGGGACCTGTAAGGGAGTTTTGGTGCCAATAACCAATTTTTTGATAACGATTGGTAACCAATCAGTAATCAATAACCAATAACGGATCAATAATCCCCCAGGCAGGGTGTACTACTTCAACCACCTGGTGAACACCAGCCAGTGGGGTCAATATTGGGGCCTTTGAGGGGGTTTTGGTGCCAATAACCAATTTTTTGATACTGATCAGTACCCAATCAGTAATCAATAACCAATAACGGATCAATAACCCCCCAGGCAGGGTGTACTACTTCAAACACCTGACGAACACCAGCCAGTGGGGTCAATACTGGGACCTGTAAGGGAATTTTGCTGCCAATAACCAATTTTTTGATACCGATTGGTAACCAATCAGTAATCAATAACCAATAACGGATCGATAACCCCCCAGGCAGGGTGTACTACTTCAACCACCTGACGAACGCCAGCCAGTGGGGTCAATATTGGGATCTGTAAGGGAGTTTTGGTGCCAATAACCAATTTTTTGATACTGATCGGTACCCAATCAGTAACCAATAACCAATAACGGATCAATAACCCCCCAGGCAGGGTGTACTACTTCAAACACCTGGTGAACGCCAGTCAGTGGGGTCAATATTGGGACCTGTAAGGGAGTTTTGGTGCCAATAACCAATTTTTTGATAACGATTGGTAACCAATCAGTAATCAATAACCAATAACGGATCAATAATCCCCCAGGCAGGGTGTACTACTTCAACCACCTGGTGAACACCAGCCAGTGGGGTCAATATTGGGGCCTTTGAGGGGGTTTTGGTGCCAATAACCAATTTTTTGATACTGATCAGTACCCAATCAGTAATCAATAACCAATAACGGATCAATAACCCCCCAGGCAGGGTGTACTACTTCAAACACCTGACGAACACCAGCCAGTGGGGTCAATACTGGGACCTGTAAGGGAATTTTGCTGCCAATAACCAATTTTTTGATACCGATTGGTAACCAATCAGTAATCAATAACCAATAACGGATCGATAACCCCCCAGGCAGGGTGTACTACTTCAACCACCTGACGAACGCCAGCCAGTGGGGTCAATATTGGGATCTGTAAGGGAGTTTTGGTGCCAATAACCAATTTTTTGATACTGATCGGTACCCAATCAGTAACCAATAACCAATAACGGATCAATAACCCCCCAGGCAGGGTGTACTACTTCAAACACCTGGTGAACGCCAGTCAGTGGGGTCAATATTGGGGCCTGTTACTTGATAATAATAGGATGAATAGGTTGGTTTTGCACTGGAAATCAGTATCCAATCAGCAATCAATAACCAATAAGCAGCCAATAATGATTGATAACCCATCAATAACCCTGCAGGACACGTGTACTACTTCAACCACCTGGTGAAGGCCAGCCAGTGGGGTCAATATTGGGATCTCTAAGGGAGTTTTCGTGCCAATAACCAATTTTTTGATACCGATTGGTAACCAATCAGTAATCAATAACCAATAAGGGATCAATAACCCCCCAGGCAGGGTGTACTACTTCAACCACCTGGTGAACACCAGTCAGTGGGGTCAATATTGGGACCTGTAAGGGAGTTTTGGTGCCAATAACCAATTTTTTGATAGCGATTGGTAACCAATCAGTAATC